TGTGTGTGTGTGTGTGTGTGTGTGTGTGTGTGTGTGTATAATGTTCAATAAATTGGGCCCTGAGGTCAAAAAGTTTAAGAACCCCTGTTTTAGGGAACCAAGTTGAATGTCATGCAGCTTCATTACCACCCTTCAACATTTTTAAAGGAATTCTCTAATTCTTACTGTTTAAAGACACAACATGACTTCTTTCTACCAGAGACCAGTTGAAACATTTTAATTCATCTTTGGATCGTTTTACTTTGTTTGAGCATAAATTTAGCTGATAATAACCTGCCTAATATGAGACACACACACACACCACCCACTCACACACTTTAATCTCAAAACCTATAAACTAAAATACCTGATGTGTTCTAGTGTTGTGTGGTGTAGCAGCACAGAGGATGAAGTGTTGTGTTGTTTTGTCTTCAGGTTTTATATCTTCATCTGTTCAGTGTGCAACGGTGGMCCAGAGTACCTGACCCGGCTGCCTCTCACCTGGTGAGCCAGTCTTTACTTCAGTCAGAGGTTAAACTAGCACAGCTGTTTATACAGTGGTATATTCAGATAAGACTGTTTAGCTGTTGTCAGCCCTGAAACATTTCCTCTCATTGGCAATCATTTCCAACTGATTACTGTGWTGTTTGTTTAAATAATATTTGCTTTATATTCACCTCTTTTACAAGCATTTTTTCCTACAATATTTCAGGAAGGATGTTGTTCATCTGAGTTTGTACAACTTGAGTGTAATCCACAAGAAGAAGTACTTTGACTTTGACATGGAGTTGATGTCTTACATCATTGAAAACTGGTCACTGATGCAGCTTGGTGAGGTAAGGACATTTACTCACACATTATTATATTTTCAGAAATCCTCTTTGACTTTCTGGTTTTTAATATTTAACTTTGCATCATAAAAATGGCCTTTCTTGGCCTGGTGGCTGCATGGAAAGCATTGTCAGCTCATAAACATTGATATTTTCCAGATAAAGGTACCAGTGGAAAAAAAATTAAAAATTTTTAGTCCTGCAGAAATAATCCTGATTTTGTTCTGACTTTAGCTCGCCAAAACTCCAAGATCTGAGCGGTTTGATCATATTCTGGAGACCTTAACCAACAATAGCTGCACGTGAGTCAAGCTGTAATGTGTTGATGAWTTTTAACTTGCTTTGTAAACTTTATTTCACATGTTTACCTGACTCTTACAGATTCATGTCTGGAAAGGAGGTAAAGAAAAAAAAGCACTTGTAYGGCCTCAGGATTCGATTCCCCCCCTCTCCCCCCAACTGTGATGAGCCAATTTACAGAGTGATGAAAACGTCACATGAGATCACCATTAAAGGATGCAAATCCAACAAAACTATGTCTGCAATCAAGTAAGGTTCAAATATGAGTTTTTACATTTTCTCATCTTAGTGCTGAGTTTTCCCCAACATATTTACTAACTCAGACCAGGAAAACCTAATGTTGAATATTTACAGATATATTATTCCTGTTACTCAGACTCCCTGACTAATTAAACATTTAAACCGTTCATGATGTGGCAGGTTCTTCTTGTGTCTTTCGGAGCTCCTGTCTTTCTTTCTTTTCTTTTTTTTAACATTATTTACTTTTTTTG